CCCCCCCCCATAAAAATTTAGCTTCCCTTACAACAGATCCATGAGCAATAGAGAAGCATATTGTATTTCTACTAACCTCCCAATCTAGAAAATTAACTCCTTCTTCAAAATTGGTTAATACAGAGACAGAACAGTGTAAATTAGGAAGCTCATCTTTAGTAACAGGAGCAAACCGACCATCTCTCAAAGCACTGCAAAGACAAGAAAGGACTGAAATATTTAGAGCACTTTCTTTGACTGAGACATGGTTGCAGAGTTAGTTATTTTTAAATGACAATATTAAAAACCCATTTAAACTAAAATTAAAACCCACACGTCTGAAAGCAGTGGTAGTCACGTGAAAAATTAAAGTGCTCTATGCTCAAGGCAATATATTTAATATGATATACAGAACTAGTAAGAGAAGCTGTATGCATTAAACAATGAAACTGATTTTCGACTAATGCTAAATTTTCACTTGCAATGCATGAATCAGAGTTGGAGTCAGAAGCAGCTCATCATGAAAACAATGGAAGTCAAAGTCCAAAGTGCATCTTCAAAACTACATCTTCTATCAGAAGCAGAGTCAGAAGGATTCCTTTTGCTTCCTTTGTGCTCAATTTTTAAGATGAGTGGTCTTCACTCATGATCTGCTTCCTACCCTGATTCATAAAGGATATCAGTCTCTTAAGTATTGTTTTTCTTATCAGTAATTCTTCTTAATCAATAAGGTGTATTATAGACACTAAAATAAAAACTATTTCCTTTTGTTTTATTTCAAAAAATTATTATTATTAATTACCTAGATAAGGTATATTCCTTTAATCCAGAATGAAGTGGCATCATTGAAAAGGTGCCTATACAGCCTCGAAGTCTCCTATCATGGCCAATTTTCCATGTAACAAATACTGGGCTAAAAATAAAAAACATAATAAACTATGTTAAGTAAATTGTTGTTTAGTACATAATATAAAATAATTATAACCATTTAGATATTAATGTAGCATAAATCTCAAGTTGTAACTTAATATCCTGATGGATTTTAGTTTACCAATACACATTGATCAACATATAAGCAAGGCATCGCCCATAGTTTGATATATTTAATAATATAAAAGTAACGGTAGGTTTGAATAATTTTTGTTACTGCATATTGTAAGTCTGGGATCCCTTCCGGGGAAGTAATAAGACATGATTGAAACCTGCAGTGAATTTTTGAAATATTACTCAAGTTAAAACCTATCTTTTACGAATATCTCAGAATGGCTTGAGTCATGACTTCGATCAAGCCCATATAATGCAATATCACTACAAGATCTATATTGTACTAATTGAGCTTTCAAGTACAGTTCTAATTAACATGTATCCATCTGCATCTCTGATCAAAGTTACTAAAAACAAGAATAAATTATTATCTAAGTTTTTTAAACATTCTTTCAAACACAAACATAACAAACGACATAACAAATAATAGCTAACACTACATTAATGTATATACTAATTATCATCTCAATATGTTAAGTATTTTTTTCGTATAAATCATCTTATAGGAAAAGAAGGATGTATGCTGTTATAACCATGCATAGATATCCCAGATAATATTATCGAATTGTTAATTGTTGTATGAAGCTAAGTAAAGAAACAAAGACTTTATTTTAAGATAGCAGCACTTGATGGTGTACGACTCATAAACTAATGGCCCTTGAAGCTAAGATTTAAAAAAAAATACTATAAGCCTAAAGCTATGTATGAAATATATGAGACTTTAAAAAAGGTTATAAAAATGAAAGGAAAAAACTACATGGAACTATAAATACTTCTAAAATGGATTAAAGAAATTAATTAAATAAGTTAATTTGATTAAGTGATTTGACAAAATTATCGAAAATAATATATAAATATTCCACAATAAAAAATGTTTTGAAGCAGTTATGCCAGATCACTCATCAATGGTGCCCTTGAGAGAAACACATTTACTAGCTGTTAGTGGCAAGGAACTTTTTAAATTATATTGAAGACTTTGTTTAGCTTAAAGATCATGATTTATTTTAAAATCATATTTTATTAGTACGAATATGAAATTGAGTAAACATTGCAACTGTGAAAAGAATTTTCTGGTTCAAAAATATAATATTTTGATTCATATAAATGAATTATACTGAGAAATTTTCTGTAATATTAGAGTTGAAGATTGTAGAGAGGAAACATAGATAAAGCTGCATGCAATTGTGTTTTAATCTAAGCCACTGTGTTATGTCTTTTGTTGTCTAAATAAGGAAACATTATACATGAAATTTTTTTGAAGACAAAAATGGCAGACCAAAAAAAAAAAAAAAGATCTCAGTATTCTATAGCAATTATTCATTATGTACATTGTCCAAAAAATAAGTCATTATTTTTCAATGACAATTTTTTTGTTAAAAAACTACACTGATAATATTTTATAAAACTCAGGTGATTCTGAGTTTAATTTTACTTTTGGAAGATCATAAAAATATCATATACTAAACAACACTGATAATAACAAATACAACCAATACTAAAAGATTCTCAGTCTACGAGGGTTCACAATTGTCTGCCTTTGGCTACATTCAAAGGGAAATGAATGTGTACGGAATTTTTATGAAAAGTCAAATGATCTTCATGAATAATCATTGTCCAACAAAATTGTACATAAACTTATAATTCTCTGAAACTCAGATAAAAGGCACTATTAACACCTTTTTTACATGCAGTCTAAAAATAAAACAAGTTAATTTTTTAAAGCAGTAAATAATATTAGTTGGTAATAATTTTATGATGAAAATTGTACAACAATCTGAATTTTGACAAAGAAAGTAAACTTGGTTTTTAGCCAAATTGTGTCAAAACACAATACTTCTAGTAAAAATGAAATGATAATCATCGTCATAAAAATATTAAGGCCAATATTGAATATTATTTAGAAAATAGGAACTGAGATCTGGAAATTGTGAAGACTAAGCATTGGACTATTACGACAGAGGGAAGAATTAATGGCAGGAATCTAATGACCACAAGGACATGACAAATATTGAAAGAATTTAAGTAGTTTGATTAGAAGTTCCTCGAGGGAGTCATACACTGGGCTTTCCTTTATTTATTCTCTTCTTTATTCTCCCTACAATAAATTGTAATATTACTGCCCTAGGAAAATTCAAATTCAAAAGGAAATGAATGGAAAGGAATATTATGAAAGACAGTCTAACAAAGGAAGCCAATTTGTTAGTCAAATTAATTTCTCCCTTGTTTTTAATCCCAACAAAAAAAATTACCAAATGACTTCAAATATCAAGAAATCTTGTATATAGAAAATATTTCAACTTTTCGAGAAAAGGAGAATATACAAACCATTCGATTAGCTTGTCTTATGTATAAATTTAAAGGCCATTCGAAGTTAGTAGGAATGAAATATAATTTGCATTGTCGATCCTGTCACACAATTTACATGTGAAGGTAAACAGAAGATAGAAAATCGAGTCATGCAACAAGATAGCAACCAAAATAAATACAGCCTTTACATGCAATCAGCCCTTTCACCCAAAATACACGAGTCGGAGCATTTCCAAAAACTGCTCAAAAGATGTGAAGGGAATGTAGTTTCATGTGAACGATAAATCTGGATAATTTGGGGGGAATCGGCGGAGAGTAAAGAAGGATTCGAGTTGGGGAAATTTTTCAACTCGGCCATCTGTATTGATAGTCCAATTGTTCTATCAAATCCCCCCAAATAACTCGAGAATTAGGAAACTTCAACCAAAGAAACGACCACATAACACAACATTAATATCTTGGCTGGTTCATACCGATCCATATTAAGAAACTGGGGTGTTCAGCTGCATGATTCAGATCGAATTATGACCCAAAATATCAATAACAGTGCAAGGGAATACTTACAAGGGCTCGTTGGTGAAGAGGGGACGAGCGGGTTCCTTTAAACGATATAAATGACTAGCTAATAAGTCGAAACAGTAAAATGCCATTTCCTTAGATATAATACGACGTCGATATACATTCTGGTGGGTTACTTGACGGTTAGAATTTTTATAATAGTTCATATTTTCTCTTTCTTTATCAGCCACCAGTAACGTCTGACAGCAATAGAAAGGCATCAGGGGAGGTATGAGATCTAGACCACGAGCCTGCACACTCTAGCCATGCGGTTCACATGAAAAGGATAGGCTATGACGTCATATTTCCAAAACACGTCATATATCCATTTCATGACATTAGTATATTATTTCATTGCTCCATCTCCATCCGTATTTTTATTCACATATGGGAGTTTGAGACTAGGTGTTTCTTATGATAATAAAGCTTTGACAAAATTATCTCATTTTCCCTTCTTTCTTTCCTTCCTCTGGTTTTTTATTTTCATTGATTTCAGTGATTACCAGGCCAGCAGACCCTTTTTAAATACGACTTTTGGGAGAAACATTTGTTAGCATTAAGGGAATTATAGCTTGCATGATGCCCACCATGACATTAAGCTCGTTGAGATTGTTAATTTTGATTGATTTGAGGAGAAGTCACGGAAGGTTTTCGAACCACAGATATTCCAAAAGCTAAAAATACTCAAGGTCCTTGATCACTGAGACTTTCCAGAACATTCTCAGCTTAGAAATACCAATCATAGGTAAACAGAGCATCCTGTTCCTAAATGACAGCTTTCGTCCGGAGATCTCACAAAACAAACACATCGAATGCATTTCAAAATTGCATTTACCCTTCATATTGAAAACAAGGGGCTGGAAAAAATGAAATTATTGTACGTTTTATGATTCTTCTTGAAATTATCGATGTACAAGAGTTTTGACAAGGTGAAGGTTGAACCGGAAGTGAATTATGTAGTATAGTACTTCCGGCAGTTTGTTGTTATCCCGTCATCCATCGGGGTCATTTACTGTTGGGCAACAAGGGGGGAATATGGAGGAACTTGCTGTCGAAGTTTGTGGCAAAAATGGCGCTTACTACAAGGTAATTTACCCTCTTTAAGTCTACCTTTGCTTACTTAGGACATAAGACTAATATCTTTATCTTTTTTTCAGGGATATGTTCGTAATATTCACCAGGATCAAGTCAGTGTAGCCTTGGAACACGAGTGAGTAAAAGCTGAATGACCGCGCGTGGCATCTAGGTTCAAATAATGATATTGTAATAATTTCATAATATTTATTCTCTTCCTAAACAAGCCTGAACAACCCTAAACGAGTGTCTTACGAAGAAGTTCGTCTACCACCTTCTACTACTCAGAGAAAAGATCTCTACGTTGACGACGAAGTTGAGGTAAAAAACCAAGCTGTTATGATGCATGTGCGACGAGAAACTTAACGACACAACAGGACATTGCGCAAGATTGTTTTTGTTCAAGTTTCACCCAAAACACTAAAATAAATTATCCTCGTTAACCTTTAGACCTGTTTATATTCGAATACATTGGTTTTAGAAGTCGATAAGGTTGATTTTTAAAGATTGCTGTCAATTTTCCACTCGAAATTCATTCTTGTGCAATATTCGCGCGAAATTAAGTTGACCAATGTTTACGTCGACTCACGTGGGACGAACTGTTGACCTTAATCCGATCTTTTTATCCTTTTTTCTTGCTTTTTTGCTACCGTTGGGCTATTTAATATAGTCTTAAAGACTCCATACAAAACTCTAAGGCAAATGATCGTGTAAATGATTAATTATGATGGTTTTTTTAATGTTTTAACTCAAACTAACACCCACTAGGCTCATTGTAATTCATTAAGTCTACTCTATTATTTCTTTACCTCCGATTACGGCCGCCAGTTGGAAACTCATGAAATTTACTTGTAATTTATATACCTTTCCTGAAAAATCAGAATTAACACTATTTCCTTAAAAATGATCATTACATTTTCTTTTCTACCGGGACTTTTTACTACTTTATAATCCACGTATTCCCTAATTATATTATGCTTGCTCGTGTTTTGTTTTGAACGCCTATTGTCATTCTATTCTCAAGGGGATTATTTGCCGTTTCATTGCAAAATGGTTGTTTATTGTTATTGAAGTTGAGAAAATATTTCTTTTCTTTTCGTTAATTTTTTTACCCAGATTTTTTCAAGAGCAAATGATGATGAGCCCTGTGGATGGTGGCCAGCTAGGATAGGGCTCAAGAAAGGCGAGGTATCAAAATAAAATCATTATATATATWTTTTTTTATTGTTATGTTAAAATTATTATTTTCGCTTTGTTTGTCTCATATTGGTATTCCATTATTTGGGTTATGAAGAATTGTTTTTATTAACTATATATTGCTAACCAAAACATCATGAAAAATCTTTCAAGAAAATCACACCAAACACTAGTATGAAATATTTCAAATATTGACAGTAGATGTTGTTATCATTGATATTTACTACTAGAGGTTAGATTTCTTTTTGCATGCTTGCATTATTATTACATTGCATTTGATTTTAGCCCCACTCCTCCCCCCCTTATATTTATATTCAAAGTTATATTTAAGGCATATCTATTTATTTACTACCAGTATTAGTTCTATTTTTTTTTTTTCTCTGTCCCTAATTATAATATTTTTTCTTTGCATTGAATATTGTAATGTGTCAACTTGTATCTTGTCTCAGGCCAAGCTTGTTTAGACTTCATGTCTTTCCTTTGCCTGTGCATAGCCCTTAAAATAAAAGCTTTAGGTTTGGGTGGCTAAAAGGTGACTATTATTTATAAGGGGGGTTCAGACAGAAGGTCCTATGAAAAATCTTGTAGAATATGTTAGGTGTTAGGAAAAATAAAGATCCTTGAGATCTTTACAAAAATAATCATTTTCCAGGAATGAGTAATTAAAAAGTCAAGTAGACATCATGGGGCAAAGTGGGGATGAAAAATGATATCCTTCATAAAGGGGAGGCACAAAAATGACATAGAATGGGCCATTTGTCATCATTTTAAAATGAATTTTCTCGTTTGCACAATAACTGAGGACTAATTGCACTTCTTAGACAGCAAGCTTCAGCAGCAGACATCTGGTCATTTGATTGTTATCCGTCAAAGAACTGACAGTTGAAACAGTTTTATTCCTTAATTATCTTCATTGATTGAAGCCAGAAATCCAGACAAATTTAATGATTCATGAAACAAGACTGCATATCGGTGGATTATGAAACATTCCTTTTGAGGAAAACCAGCCATAATGATAGTAATAATAACAATGATAATAATAATGATAATAATAATAATATTGTAGCATAATAATAATGAGACAGTTCTGTAGAAAGTGACAAAAAATAAAAGGAAAAACTTATAAAAATATGTATATACATAAATATTCACAGATACGCTCATATATCTGGTCTATAAGTTAAATAAGTCTTTTGTTCTCTTTTGAAATAATCTACAGATGGTGAGTGACGTAAGTATTTTGGTAGGTTGTTCCACTGGTGCAGCGCACACACAGAGCAAGCTTTTCCAGTATAGTGCCATATACGTTATACGTTGATTTATATGTCTTGATCCCTGTGCCCAGCCCCACCCCCTAAGGATGTCACCCTACGCTGTGAGAGGGGTGATCAGAATTTAATGTGTAGTTTTGGTATTTTTTTTAGTTCTATGTTGTTCAGTACAATGGCTGGGATGCAACGTTCAATGAGATTGTGCCAAGAGAAAGAATCAGGCCAGTCAACACTAAGTGAGTTTTGTTTTATCTTTAAAACTGTTTGTAAATCTGTTAGAACATAGTGCAAGTATAAGTGGCTGTTTCAAATTTAGGCAACCTTTCATAACAGTGAGTCATCAATATTGATTTTAATGAATATGTGCTTGACACAAAAAAAGTTATGTCACAGGTCATAGAATTAACAAATTTAGCATGGAATGTTGTCTTGTTTACCACATTATGATGTCAACAGTTGATCGAAATGTTATGTACTTACGAGGCCTTTGAAGTGCGCACTGGCTTCTTGCACCAACAATTCATAATTTGCTGACATAATGTGTTGGTATGTCCTCTTTTTTACGACAGCTCTCAACCAATCAAAAAGCGGAAACATATACATTTGCTGTAAAATTTTCAATTAACCGCTTCGTTAATGTGCAATATATTGTTTTTCAGTGGTCCAATCAGTAGGAATATGTACTATAAAGTGATGATTGATGTTGCACCTGATCTCAGGGCCATGTGAGTATATATTCTTTCTGTTTCTAATGAAGTATACAGTCAATTCAAAAAATGTTGTCGTTGACCGTCTCAAGCCTACACGACTTGACTGAAAGGAATATGGGTAAAAATCGCTGAATTGGTTAAATATTCGTTCTGAATTAATTGTTCCCGCTAGTAATAAGATCATAATGACGAGAAACAATCCATAAAATGCATGTCTTTGGGTTTAGGGAAAGAAAAACAAAGTAGTTATGATTCAGTTCACAATTTTGAAAATATGAAAGTAGTTATGATTATACAAAGTAGTTATGATTCAGTTCACAATTTTGAAAATATGAAGGCATTAAAAAAAAGTCTCCTTCAACACTTCCCGCTCACCTACGAAGGTTCGTGCTGTAAACAAGGCATAACTAGTCGGATAAAATTATGGAGTCAACTCGGCTTCAATGATTGCTACCCAGAGTTCCTTTCGGTCCAGTCGTGTAGGCTTGAGTTGGTCAACGACAATGTTTTTTGAATTGACTGTACAACAGTTGTTACAACTACCACACCCTAGGGGGTCCTAGAGTGTCTATGACCACCCCTCCCACTGGCGGTTTAATCGTTATACACTTATTTAAAAATACATTGTCAGATGGAGATCTGAAATGGGTTGTCTGAGACTAAACAGAATTCTTTACTTTTATGTTTTCTAGCTAAGTTACGAAAAATCACATTTCTAACTCAAAGTTCATGCTTCATATGCCATTCTAAGAGGAAACTACATTGTTCGGCTGAGAATATATTTCATTTTGCAGAGTGTTACTCAGTCTCAGATTTCAGATTTCAGATCCCTGACCAACGTTTTTTGAAATAACTGTATGCATAGGAAATATTTTTGGTGGAGATTAGTGGGAAATGAGCCCTTTCCCTCTTCCCTCCCAGTCTATAGAGAAATCCCCAGTCAACTGTTTTTAGATGTGGGTATTATGAATCTGTCTCTCAGATGTAAAGACGAGAGCTGCCACAGAGAGTTCAAAAGACAGTGTAATGCTGCATGTGTTGGGTTTAATGATAACCTGAATGTTCTTGTAGTCTTGGTAAGTTATTGACATACAAGTATGTCCGTTTTAACTGTTTGAATTAATGATTTTGATATCTAGGAGTGATATAAAATGTTTGAATATTCTTCAATAGTCACGAAGTGAACTTCCTGTGAAGAGGGCTGCAATGCTAAGTGAAATGCACTTCAGAAGTTTGCGGACTAAGATGCTCCTTCAGTCTTGGACAGATGAGACAGCTAGACAACTTGAGGTACCTGATAATTTTCTACCTCAAAACAAAATTTTTAAGCTTACGTGTTATACCTAGACTGTATTGACTGTATTAAGTCCTTTACATTTTTTCCCCTTTTATTTAAACATATTTTGTCATTACATTAACACCAAGAGTGTAACGCTCATCGAGGGGGTCTATGTCGTAATTATATTACAAATATATAGTTATGTGGGCGAAAGAAAAAGAAGATATATACATATAGGAACAAAATATATAAAGTAACGATTACTATAGTGTAAGTAATATAGGTGGCGTAAATTTACATTTAATCAATACCCTGAAACAACCTCTAGGCTGATCAAAGTCAGGGCATGGCTAATGCACAGATCAAGTGGAATTTAGGGTCTTAGGTTTTACAGAAGGAGGAAAACAGAAGAACTCGGTTGCCATTTTAATAACATTGGTCGACTCTGTTTTGTTAATAGATGGCAAAGAAACAGATGGGTGTGTGTGACAAGCTGAGACTGCCAGAACATTTGATGGGTTTGGCTATCGGTGCACAGGGTGCAAACATCCAACAAGCACGGAAACTACCTGGTATCATATCTATTGAAGTTGATGAAGAAAACTGTACTTTCTACATTTGTGGAGAGGTACATTACACCAGATAGATTACTGGGTTTTTGATATTCTTCGAACTCAGTAGTTACAAGCTGCACAATGAAATTTGTTTTTTTTTGCTGCTGTCAATCAAAAATAATCACTTGTTACTTTTATGTTTTTGACTGGGAGCAGTAAAAAACCAATTTCACAACAAGCCGTTGAAATATCTGAGCTCACAGAGTATCAAAAACCGCAGTAAGAGATAAAAGGAAAATTCTTTCAGAATTGTAAAAAGTAATTGAATGAATTTGGGTTGACGTGACATTTGTGTTGCAACAGGTATGGTCATCCAGACCATTGCAAAGTTGATTTAATTCCTGAATTTTTTTCTGTCATTTTAGAATGAACCATCCATTAGTGAGGCAAAGCGTTTGCTAGAATTTGCTGAAGAAATAGTTTACGTCCCAAAGCCTCTTGTTGGTGAGTCAATATTCGCTCTTCACTTTTAGATATTCCTTACTTTTCTAATATTTGCTTGGGAAAATGTCTGGGTTAATAGTTGGGACGCCAAGCCAAAAAAAAAACATTTCCAGATTGGACAACAGGTAGCCCAATTCAAGAATACAGTTAAAAAATAACACCTAGCTAGTAAGTTGCCATTTCTGATTTCCCATTTCTTACTCACATCACCTCTGGTCAAAATTTTGGCAAGGCAAAGATATGGCCTGTCAAGTTCCAATTCTTATTTTTAGGTCTGTTAAAAAAGTTTATGGTAGCCATACCATGGTACAGGGACAATGCATTGTTTTTGCATGGAAAATAGATATTTTTTATTTTTCAAAGGTAGAATGCCTATTATTATAATTTTGTCCTATAACTTGGTGCCAGTAAAATCCCCTTCTTATCTGCTAGCATTCTCTCTTCTCTTTTTGAATCTTTTCCCGAATTAGCTGAGTATTGACTGTTATACCTCCAAGTGGTAGGGGATGGTTGATGGGTGTTCATGATACTTGTTTATTGTTTCAGGCAAGGTTATTGGTAAAAATGGTCGTATCATCCAAGATATGGTTGATAGGTCAGGAGTGACTAGAGTAAAGATTGAACCACCAGTAGAAAATGAAACAGAGGAAGAAAAGTCTGCAAAGGTTAGCAATCTTTTTAAATACAATAGAAAGGATTATTCATGTTGGATATAAGTCAAAGATTATTTTACAATTATTCACCAAATCTTTACCGAGACGCGAGTCTTTGAGCGGCGAGGTAAATATGCCCCAATAATCACTGATCCCAAGGCAAATAATTGTTTTAGTATAAATACACAGGTGATTCTTTCAAAAAAAGGGAAAAAAAGAAGATAAAAGGCATTTTTTAAATTCCAGTAACAGCAACAAAGTGGCTGGCCGCCATTTTGGATTTTTGCTCAAGGTGATTATTGTGTGATAGTGTGAGTTTCTTGACCAATCAGCTCGCGAAATTTTCTATAACCACCTGCGTATTTTTACTATGCTTATTTATTTGTACCACAATATTGTGGCAGTTGGGCAGAATGCATCTTTATAGCTGCTACTGCTAGTCCTCATCAGGCAATGATGAACAATGATGATGATGAATCTTTTCTTTTGTTTTATACAAGCCTCATGATTTGATAGCAATTGGCTATACTACCCAAAGGAATGTGATCCATTCATTCATTTATTCATTCTTTCTTGGCCCCATTCTTTTTTCAGAAAGAAGTATCATTTCTTTTCGTTGGGACTAAAGAATGCATTGAAAACTGCCGAATGATGTTGGACTATCATCTTGCTCATTTAAAGGTCAGTTTGTATCAAGTTTGAAGTTAGATAGACAGACCTCTTTACCTTGGGTGTAAGGTTTTCCCATTTCAGACCATGTGTCATTTCCTTAAGAATAAATTCTTTGTTTGAGTTGTATCCATTTTCACGTGTCTTCTTATGTGCAACAATTAAACAAAGAAATAATACTCTAGGAACTGACATTGTACGAAATCAGAAAACATTTATGAAGCCCATTTGTGTATAGTATTAATTTTTACTTTAAATATGTTGTTTTTAATGTATGATATGGTTATTGCTGAAAAATCAGCACTGATAAGTCCTTTAAAGTATTTCTGAAAATGAAACTTTTTTTATGTAGGAAGTTGAGAACATGAAGAAAGAGAAAGAACAGTTGGATCAACAGCTCCAAAGCATGGGGATCAACCCACCCCTTGGACCATCATACATCCCTACTCCAGCAGAGATGCGCAGTGGTACTAACCTCGTCATAGCTACTCATGACCCTTCAGTCGTAGGCAGCAGGGATAGGTCTCTGACTACAGATAGTTATGGTGGCGACCTCAATGAAGCCATGTCCATCAGTACCAACCCTGGACAAAAGGGGAAGACAAACACAACACTGCGAATACGGTCAAGCAGTGAGAGTGAAAATACGGAGAGTGGAAGACTGTCGACCCAGGTGAGTGACAATCAGACCCTCCCATCCCCCCACGCGATGGAAAGGTCTTAGTACCGTCTTATTTTTGAGGTGCATGTTGAGTCATAGCCGTCATGGTGGTTGATGATAACAAAGCATTCCTCATTAGCTTTTCTTGTAAAAGCAACCAACATGGCGGGATTTTGAGTAACTGCGTTGTTGCACCCGAAGAATTGAAGTACACCGTCTTCACAACAGTTTCTTTGTTTACAGGCTCCTAACAAAAGGTCTACAACACCGACTTCTGAACTCAAAGACATCCGTGAAGAAGCCGAAGAGCATGACTATAACTCCAAAAATGGTCACAAGGACAGTGGTTAGTAGTCGAGGGGGAGGGGGGGTGTTGTAAGGCTAGAATTGTCACCATTTGAGATTAACTGAAACGCTTTCTTTATGGCTTGAAAAGGACGCATAAAACCTGAAATCCGATGTGCAACCAATAGTTTTCCGAACAGAATTTATTCTTATAGTATTTGATTTTTATTTAAAGGTAATAAGAATTCCCATGGTAAAAAGCCATCTCCATGGTTCATGGGCCCAAGAAAACGCTCCAACAGTGACGGCAAAGACGACAGGTACGATACCAGGAATGGATACGGGAGGGGCCACCCTTCAAGGACAGACAACAGACAGGGGGGTCAGGGCAAGACACAGTCTCGCCATCAACAACAAATGGGTCGACCTCGCGGGAATAGCGGAGGTACGCAGCAACTGAGGCCGAGTTCAGGTAGTCTGGCGCAGAACTGGAGAAACCCCGACAACGGCAGCAGTATGCGTAGGAAGAGTGACGACGAGAAGTTAACAGCAGACGCGAACAGTAAACAAGAGGCGAAGAAGAACGACGAAAAGACGGAGGACAAGTCCGCTACCGAAGGACAAAGTAAAACTCCGAGGGAGAAAAAAACAGAGAACGGAGATGTGACTTCCCAAGGTTCGAAGCCGGAAAAGGAAGCGGCGAAGAGTGAGGAAGATAAGAAAGAAAGCAATTCAAACCCGGAACAAACAATAAAAACAGACGATAAACAAGAAACCAAACGAGAAAGCTCAGAAAGCAAGTCCAAACAAGAGTCTGAGGTACAAAATTAGATTAGTTCCAATATTTTTCGCCAGTTCTTAAATCGATTACCATCAAACCTGAAAAAAATATTGCGTTTCATTGACAAATCTTATTTTTTAAAGCAACTGGCTCTGTTCAAAGTCCATAGTCTTAATTTCATTTAACCTCAACAAAATTGAAAAAAATTACGTCCATCAATAACAATCATTGTTCTGTCTAGGGAAGTAAGTATTATTTGTTTATTGCGCTGTACGAAGATGGTTTAAAGTACCTTTAAAGTCAATCAAAATGAATGAGGTAAAAATAGCGCTCGTGAAAAGTAACAAAAGAATCAAAACCGGCTCTTTAGTGGCTTTTTATCTACACCAATCAAAATACAAGAAAAACAATGTCGTCCAATCATAAAGATTTAGTGTGACGTAAAAACGTTACTGTGAAAATGTTTTCAATGTGACCAATCGAAGTGCCCTTACATTTCCGATATCCAATCACAAATGTCATTCAAACGCGGAAGACATTTTAGTGTTGCTGTCCTATTGGACTCGCATGAAATTTATCTAATTTTTACACTTGACTGAAATCATCTCTAATGACTTTAGATTGTGAAAAATTAAAAATTCCGAAAATAACTAAAATTTTGTTGATTCAATTCATCTGGCTATTCAGTAAATAAAAAAATATACGTCCACTTGTTGGACTGTGAGAATTTTTTTTCTGACAGACGAACTGATTTTGTCAAATATGTTTTGATTGTGATGGTTTCTTGACCATTGACATTGTAAAGGTTTTATTGTTTTATTGGTCTTAATGTAAAAAAAAAAGAAAGAAATAGAGAAAACCAAAGAAAAAAATTGAAAGTCGAAAAAATTATTTTGTTAATGGAAAAAAATTGATTTATTTGATGTGATGAATAAAACATCGATAGGACTTGGATATTTTGTGTTTATTCGTCGTATTTTAACCTTGTTACAGAAGCAAATAAAAGGTAAGACTTTTGTTACCTTTTCTTATCCAAAAAGCGGGGAAAGATAAAGAAGAGGGCTGCAGGGGTGCTCCTTTCTTCAGCGCACGTGCTGCCATGCGCGTTCTCGTCGAGACAAGAGACACTCTAAGTCCCGGGATAGAAGTGTAGACTGGCGGGTTTGAAATACGCGCTGCCGCGGAGAAACATGCGAAAAGAAACTGAGAAAATGTTGGAAAAGCATTTGAGAAAGTTGAGCTACAGATAATGGCTGCATCACCAACCTGTATTCGACAGTCTTGGACCTAATATATTTATTTGTTTAGGTTTGAGGGATTGTGGAGGAGTCGAACGGGTTGTTTTTGGTTGCCGCATAAAGTGGTACAAAAAAAGCTTTTGGAATTTGCCATGGTTTATCACAGAATCTTATTTTATTCACCATTAAGAATAATTTATGCACAACCTGAATTTTTTTCGCTTTTTCTAGCCGTCGGTTGCTTATTAACGTATCACAGACTTTTTACATAATTGGATAAATAAGCAATTCCAGGGGAAATATTGGTTTAGTAAAGATTAATCAGTCCAGGTCTTCTTCTTCATCTTTTTTTTCATCCTCTTCAACGAACTGTACCAACTGGGCATTCCGATCGACGGACCCGTTCAACTGGCAGAGAACCTTTGCGATTTTTCCTGCCTTGGGTGCTCGTATGGAATACTGAGGAGGAAATAACACAAGAATGAGCAGCTTCTTATGAGGAGTTTAGGCACTAGGGATAATCCATCAAGGGCATGATTGTCTGAAGATGTTTATCAGTGAACCGTGCCCTTGCTAAAAGCAGTGATTTTTTCACGGGCATATACATCGACTTTATTGTGCATCCATTGTTTGGTGAACAAGTTACCTGTGTCCCACTTCTCGGCACAACCTAGCATATGGGTATTCTAAAATCTACCACTTTATATTATGAAAAATCTCTATGTGAGTTGCATGGATGTTGTGAGTACTGAACGTAATGGTAGTGTGTATCTGAAAGGAATTTCACGGAAGACCTCCTCTCATGGGGAGTGATGGTTGGCCTTAAGATCCGATGACGAGTGCGAGAACGAGTACGAGTTTTTAACTTTTAAAGAGAGGCACTATCATTTCGTAGTAGTGGTCGTGTACGTAGATTGAAAATTTAGATTGTAAAAAATCGGTAATCGACTACGATTCAGTATGAACCACACGCGCAGGACTAATTTTAAGACGTACACGATCTCGTACTCGTCGTCGTATCTAAAGGTTTCCAGACACGGCAGCAGCAGCGAAATCAAACAAAATGTAAGCTGTGTGTAGAAGAGTTCATTTACCTGCATTTTCATGGCTTCCATGATGACAAGTACTTCCCCCTCCTCAACCTGCTGCCCGGGTTCGACAAGAACCTGTTGACAAAACAGATACAAGAACATTCATGGCTTAATCTCATGAACAATATCGACATCAAGTAATACCAACCTTAACAATACTTCCTGGCATGGGTGCTTTTGCACCTCCTGATGTCCCACTCATAGTCGTGCCGCGTAAATACTTGGGAACTGGTCTATCCAGCTTGTGACAACCGTCCTGAAAAAACAACAAACGAAAATATAAGGATTCTGTGAAAGGTAAGGAGCGGTTGTACTTTGAACCTCAACTCCTCACTGAACCTAATGGGAAAGCTGAAAATTTCAGAAAGCCTATCAATTTGCAAAAAGATTGGTTAGAAGATGCCATTAAATACTGTGGACTGACCAAGGTCAAATGTCAAGCTTCACATGAGTCAAACCTAATGACATCAAAGAAGACTGCCTTGTTATCCATTGATTCAATTTGGTTTGGCACAGCAGCTCAAAACATTCCATTCCCAAATTTGCGCACCCATCCTACACCTCTCACAATATTTCAAGGAGTAGCCTCTTAGCCTCCCTACATACTTTAGTAAAGAGGTGAATTGTTCCATCCTGGTCAACGAGCGAGGATTTCAGTATCTTGTTATTCACAGTAGCTGTCAAATTTGTCCTGTTCCCCTCCTGTTGGAGTTCTCCTTTGACATCAAATCTGTCGCCTTCGATCTGTTTCAGAAACAAGATAAATTGTAAGTGGTCAAGACATCTATCACATAGGCTTAGGTTTTCCCCATTATTTGCTTCATCAAATATTCCCCACCTCTTCCCCCTCCCTCCCCCCCCCCC